CTCATTTTGTATTCCCTTACATGGATAATTGATGGTTGTGTATTTCATGGATTACTAAAGCTTAAAACCATAGAGTTTTTCTAGCATATGTGGATTTTTTAATCACACTGAATTATATTTAAAAAAATTATTCACATGTTGCATATTTAATTAAGAAATCACTAAAAATATCCAAACAATCAAAATAGACTTTACCTTCTATAAAATATGTTAATAATTTATAAAACAGTTTGCGTTATTAATCCTGGTGGAAAGGAATATGATTACTATTTTTTTTCCCAGCGGAAAGGAATATGATTACTTGAACGAGTCCATCGGTATAAATGTAAAATATATCTTCTTTCATTTCTCGACGGTGAAGTAAGACTAAGCTCATGAGCTTATTATCCTAGGTCGGAACAAGTTGATATGATCCCCTTTTTTCGCTCCCATGTGATCAATATACGATTTTACCTTCCAATTTTAGCCTTGTTATTAATTAAAATTTAGTGTTTATAAGCTCATTGAACTCCATGCTTCTCTATCTCCATCATTTAAGTTGGGAGTAAACTCGGAAAAAAATTTATTCTCTTCGGTCCTTCTTATAAGCTTCAAATAACTAATTTATGGATAACAAAAAATTAGTTAAAATTAGTTAAAAATAATAAATATGTTATAAATATACTTTTATTTCCAAATATGTTCTTATAATAAATGAGAAAAAGAATAAATGAAAATGTGTGGGAAAATGTGATAAAAGATAGATAATCAAGGGTAACATTGGAAAATATGTATTAAATGATAAGACAAATCCAAATTAAAGCTTATATAATAGACCATATCACTTCTCAAATTTAAAACTTATAAATGGGACTGGAGGAGTATTAATGTAGGACAAATTTAATGCTTTAACTTCTATTTCTTGGTATATGCAAATTAGCTGAGAATGCCCTATAATAAGGACACGAGGGAGTATCTTCTTTGTGGTTTACTTTTCAAAATTCTAGGTCACACACTGTTGGAATTTTTCTTCAATTTTCTCTCATATAAAGCTTTTCTTGGAATTATATTTTCGGGTCTGGAACTTATAGTGCTCCTTTTAATACCTCCACCTCTCAATTTTTTTCATTGTATTTTTTATCATTATATTCTACATAAAGTAAGAGACATTTTGATATCTTATGACAATTATATACATTAATTTTCTTTGAAAAATCATAAAATACACTGTTTTATCACTATAAGATGTTTATGTCTTAAGATGATTAATTAGATACATTCTCTCTTCCGGCTTCACCACATCAGGTAACAATATAATATGTACATGTCTCTCTTTTGCAGAAGTTGACATTTGTTTTCACTTCATTAATTATCAGCTAACAATTGTGGTTAGGTAATAACTTGGTTGCGCTTTACTTGTCAAAATTCTACTCCTCTGGTCCTATTTATAAGGCACTTTCAACATGTTTCATACAAATCAAGAAAAACCTTAAACTCTATTAGCTCTTCATTAAAATATAGTAACTTTCTAACTTTACTTCTATTTAATATATACATCTTTCAACAGAAATAATTATCTACACTATAATAAATAAAGGATAATATAATACATTTATGGTAAAAATTTAATGAAATGACTTATAAATATGACTAAAAAAAATTCTCTCTCTCTAATAGGACCAGAGGAGTATGTCACGTTCTCTTGGAATTTCCCTTGAATTTTCTGTCATGCAAAGTTTTTTCTGGGAATTTTTCGGGTTTGGAATTTCTAATACCCCTTCTAATAATGCCTCAACTTCTCAATTTTTTCATTATGTAAGAGATATTTTGATATTTTACGGTAATCATATATATAGTAGTTTTCTTTGAAAAATTATTAAAAAAACATAATAGGTCTCTCATTTGACGTACAAACTAGTAATTAAAAGAAATGAGAAAAAACAAGTGGGAGGTTAAGACATTATAAAGAGCATAATAAAATTTTGGGGCATTATAAGGACATTAGAGATCTAATATCATGTCCGATTTTTTTCCCCTAGAAAACGCAAATGAGAGAAAAATTTTCATCTTGATTGGTCTCCGGCAATCATCAAATCAGCGATTATAACAACAGCTAAACATATGAATGGTACTAAAGATCAAAAAGTTGGTGATAATGACTTTGCTTATGGGTCAGGACATGTTAATCCTATGCCATCTATCAATCTTGGACTAGTTTATGATCTTTCAAATACCTCGAAGTTCTCTACAATCTTGGTTATAACACTTCAGTCATCAAAAAAATCTCTGGTGAGTGATGATCAGAATGTCACATGTCCCAAATCTCCTGATAGATCCTTGATGAGAAATACAAACTTTCCTTCGATATTAGCAGAAGCGCTATCTATGAAAGCTTTTGATGTTAAGCTTAGTCGGATAGTTACAAATGTTGGATTTGTTAACTCAAAAGTACGAGGAAACTGTACGGTCAACTCAAGGAATCAACATTACAGTGGAACCTAAGGTGTTGTCCTTCAAGTCTTTGAGTGAGAAGCAATCTTTTGTTGTGAGAATTGTGGGTGGGAAATTACCAGAAGAAACAGTGTTGTCCTCATCACTCGTATGGTTAGATGGCACTCATGATTTTAGGAGCCCTCTTATTGTGAATGTTTTGAACTCGACCAGAAGTTAATATATATACTGGAAATTTGACTAGCAAAATAATGATTTTTGGTATTGAATATTAATATATGACATTTTGTTTTGTTTGAGGAATCTTTCAATGTTTTGCTCGAAGTCGACTAGATGGCACTCGTTTTTTTTGGGACAACTTTGCTTTTAGAAACTTATCTTCTTGGTTTTATATACTTTAAGAGCTTGCCTCCAATCAAATCACGAAGACATGTGGATTTTTTTAATTATACTGAGTGATATAAAAAAATTATTTACAGACGAAACAAAATATATACGACTTGATCTGTTCAGGTTGATTTTAACTAGAATTCAATGCTTTTCTTTCTATTAAATATAATACTAATAATTATGGGATTTCATATAATGATTTGATTGATAATAAATTCTTATTTATGCATCTATATGTAATATCAAACACACAGGAACGTTATTCATCAGGCGAATTGTGTGCTTGATTTCAGAGATTTCATACCATGCAAGTTCAGTTTATCTATTTAATAGTTATTCTAAAATTTTCAGCACTCCCCTTTATGTGCATGTATGTATATACTCTTCTGGTCTTATTTATAAGGCAAAGAGAGAAGACAATTTTTGATCCTATTTATAAGATATTGAAAGAAATTTTTTGTATGGATGTACAATTTTACCTTTCATTTATTATTGTGTTGACTATATTTACATAAAGTATAATATATATTAAATAGGGATAAAGTTAAAAAGTTGTTGAATTTTAAATGAGAGTTAATGAAGTTTAAAGTTTTCTTTAATCTGTGTGAAACACGTTGAAAGTGCCAGAAGAGTACATAATACTGCCAATTGCTTCCTTTCATTCTTTAGTGCCTTCAACAATAATGGCCAAACAAAATTCCATACCTCTCCTCTATTTATTTTTGAACTATAAAATACTTTAGGGTATTAGATGCATACGAAAAAATATATTTAGAGTACTGAATACATCATAAAATACTTGAGGTCAATGGATGTATCTGATGAAATACTTCAGAGTGCTAGATGTAACTTAACCCTTCATTTAATGCAAGTAAATTTAACTTACATTCATTGCACGTATCCTAGAAGCATTTAATTCAAGAACTTGATTCTCCATTACTACTCTATTACTATTTTTAAGTCACTTGTACCTGAAACCCGCAATCTAACAATGCATTAAATTGATTATTTTTTTTCACATTTACCCTTATTAAAGAAAGGATATTAAACATATATTTCATGTTTTCTCTTACCTATTTACTTTATTTCTCTCCACATTTATTAAGTAAACATGGGTGAAAATGAAAAAAGCTTATTAATTAATTTCTCTAGAGGTTATTTATTTTATGTTACAAATATATGAAAGTCAAATACTATTCATTAATTGGCAATAAATTGTCCTTCCCTTTTCTACTTCATATACGTTTGTGCGTGTGTGTTGTGCCCTCTGTACCATATAAAAATTCAGACAGGTTATTAGTGTCTCTATATAAATAAGAACAAATCGTCCTAAACAGATTCTTTTATAGTTAATGGATGCAAATATAAAATTTGAGACTAAAATTTTAGATAGGCTACTAATACATCTCTATGAATAACAAAAAGTCATCCCTGCAAAATTCTTTTATATATATGATAAAAAATACCTAATAAGCGGGAAAGGGTCACGTACGCGAGAAAAGTTCAGAGAAATTGAAATTAAAAAAAACAAAGCAAAACATAATTTTTTTCAATTGCATTTAATGACAATAAAAATAATATTTTCTTTTATCTCCATTCAATGCAATTAAATTTAGCCTACATTCATTGCACCTGTCCTGTTACCATGATTAACTACCATTCTGGTCCTAAATGTAATCGTGGAGAGAAGTTTTGATCATAAATATAAGTCATTTATAGTATAATTAATTCTTTTTTTCAATTTTACTATTATTTAATTGTTATTGTAAAGGGAAAAAAAACAGAGAGAAGTATAAGAAAGGTTTGTAAATATAAAGAGAGAATAAGGGTAAAATCAGAAAAAATTTGTCAATTTAATGCATTCCTTGATACAAATAACTTATATTAAAGACCAGAGTGATATACTTTAAAATAAATTCAAGAATTTGGATTCTTCATATGTTGGGATTGAAAGTTTACAAAAGTCAGATTTGTTACATATATGTGTGTGTAAATCAAATGCAATTCATTAGCAATAAATTGTCCTCCCTTTTCTACTTTAATTTATATGTATGTAGTGCCCCTCAATACCATTCACATTCCTGCAGTGAAACAAAACAATGGCTGAGCGTTCTTCAATTATTTTATTCGCGTGTATAGTAATTCCCTTAATATGCGATGCTTATCCTGATGTTGAACACATGAAAACTTACATAGTCTACATGGGATCACTTCCTCAGGAATCATCGTACTCTCCGACTTCTCATCATTTGAGAATGCTTCAACAAGTTACTGGAGAAACTGATGATGCCGCAAGTTCATTACTGATTCGAAGCTACAAGAGAAGTTTCAATGGGTTCGCTGCAAAGCTCACAGAAGAGCAAAGAGAAAACATTGCTCAAATGGAAGAAGCGGTATCTGTTTTTCCAAACACAGTACTTCACACTCATACAACCAGATCGTGGGACTTCATTGGTTTGGTCAAAAAAACCAAACGTAACGTGTCTGCTGAAAGTGACGTCATAATCGGATTTCTTGACACTGGAATCTGGCCTGAATCAGAGTTTTACAGATCAAGGTTTTGGTCCTCCTCCAAAAAAATGGAAAGGTATTGGTAATTTCCTTAATAAAACACATACTGAGGATACTTTGGGAGTCATGATTTCTCTTACTAGATGCATTATTCTATGTTGCATCTTAGGAACTTGTGCAGGTGGGAAAAACTTCACATGCAACAACAAAGTCATAGGAGCTCGATTCTACAAGGAAGACTCTGCAAGAGACAATGCCGGGCATGGATCTCATACGGCCTCAACAGCAGCAGGAAACAACGTTAATGGCACAAGCTTTTATGGTATGGCAGAAGGCACTGCGAGAGGAGGGGTTCCATCTGCTAGAATTGCTGTATACAAAGTCTGCGATGCTCAAGGTAATATTGTGGGTGGTGCGATAATAATCTTGATATCATTTGTATCTTATCATTATTTTTTAAACTACTCATATAATTAGATTTCCCAATGATGTGCAAGTTATAGCTGATAATATACTCCAATACAAATAATTAAGAAAAGTATTTTAAGAAAATTAGTATACTCTTTTATAAATAATTTATCTTATTTTAATTTCTTAATCCATTTGAATTATATTAGTTAATTAGTTCTTATAAGTTTTAACAGTTTGAGGATGAGAATTAACGGATAATTCAGATCCTCTCATTTTTCTCCTTTTTTTTTCCTTAGAATCCCATCCCCACTCATAGATTAAAAAAAATGGATGCTGGCAGATTTATTGTTTTATAAAGCTATTCTTCTAAAGATAATTAAATAAATTTAAATTGTTAAAATTTGACATACACAATTTATAGTATTATAGTACTGGGTAGGAAAAAAATCGAGAAAATTTGATTTCTAAAATTTACAATAATAGTTTTGTAAAACAATGAATCCGAACCCTCTATTTATTGATATATGAGGGACGAGAAGAGATTCCATGAAAAAAAGGATAAGGAGGAAAAGGAAAGAATCTCGTTTCAAGATGGATCGTACCACTCATGAGAACTTTCACATGCCATTAGGCTGTAAATCCATTGACAACTAACTCCTATATCTATGTCCAGGACACTATAAATTTCAACATTGTCATGTAACAACGTTAACTTGTGTTAGGGTACTGCGATAGTGCTGGAATCTTGGGTGCTTTTGACGATGCCATTGCAGATGGAGGTGACATACTCTCGCTTTCACTTGGAGGGGAGCTTCCTCCAAAACATTTGTACGATGATGATGGTATCTCGATTGGTTCCTTTCATGCTATGGCCAAAGGGATACTCACAATGCAATCTGCAGGAAACGAAGGGCCTTATCCAAAGACAGTGACTAGTGTCGCATCATGGATCCTCTCAGTTGCAGCAAGTCACACAGATCGCCAAATCATCGACAAGCTTGTCCTTGGGAATGGAACAACCTTAGTGGGAGGTTCCATAAATGCTTTTGACCCGAAAGGGACCAAATATCCCATAGCCAAGTGTAAGAATGGATCAATTTTTGCCGACATTTGTGGTTGTCTGGAAAGTGAGATCCGAGGAAAGATTGTGTTATGTAATGATCGAATAGACCCTGATGCTCACAAAGTTGGTGCAGTTGGCGCGATTATAAATGATCGCATATATGTACCAGATGGTGTGTGTGAATTTCCTTATCTCATATTATCTAAAAAAGACTATGATGTTGTTGAAACATACCCAAAATCAGCAAATCCAGAAGCTGAGATAATGAAGAGTGAGAGCATTGTGGATAAAACTGCCCCAAGGTAGCTAAGTTCTCTTCACGAGGGCCAAGCATAGCAGTCCCACAGATCCTAAAACCAGACATAACTGCACCAGGAGTGTATATCTTAGCAGCATATTCTCCTCTGGCTTCACCATCAGGTAACATAGTGTGTGTCTATGTGTGTGTGTGTGTGTGTGTGTATAATGTCTCTCTTGTATAAGTTCACATTTGTTTTCACTTTATTAATTATCTATCAGATAACAATATAATTATGATTAATTGAAAAGTTTTTCTTGAAATTTTTTGGGTTTAGAACTTCTAAGGCTTCTTGTAATGCCCCAACCTCTCATTTTTTCCCTTCATTATATGCCTCTCATTTGATGTGCAAACTAGCAAAAAGAAAAAAAAAAAACAATTGGGAGGTTGGGACATTATAAAGGGTACTAGAAGGATTTGGGGCGTTAGAAGTATGTACGAATTATTCATAAAAAACGCAAATAAGAGAATGATTTGAAAAGCAAAAATTTACGGAAAAACACAGAATATGTACAACAAATGGCGAGAAAAGTTTTTTGGAATAATTTGAGAGAAATTTTTTTAAAAAAAGGATCAATTGTTGAAAAGAAATAACAAAAACAAAGAATGTTCAAAACCATAGAAAATTTTGGTAAGAAAATTATGTTTTTCTTATATAGTTGCGTACATTTTACCTAATTAATTATATTTAGGTTTGAGTTTATATGCAAATTGCTTCTTCAGGTAGTGACACTCGAGAAGTGTTAAGTACAACATTATCTCAGGAACCTCTATGGCATGTCCTCATGTATCTGGAATAGCAGCGTATGTGAGAAGTTTTCATCCAAATTGGTCTTCAGCAGCCATCAAATCTGCGATTATGACGACAGCTAAATCTATGAATGGTCCTAAAGATTATTTTGCTTATGGATCAGGACATGTTAATCCTGCGCAAGCTATTGATCCTGGACTTGTTTATGATCTTTCAAAACAAGATTACCTAGAACTTCTCTGCAGTCTTGGTTATAACACTTCAATCATCAAAAAATTCTCTGGTGATCATAAGGTTACATGTCCCAGATCTCCTGATAGATCCTTGACAAGAAATACAAACTTTCCTTCGATGTTAGCAGAAGTGAAATCTATGAAACCTTTTGATGTTAAAATTAATCGAACAGTCACAAATGTTGGATTGGTCAACTCAAAGTACGAGGTAACTGTACAATCAACTCAAGGAGTCAACATTACAGTGGAACCTAAGGTGTTGTCCTTCAAGCCTTTGAGGGAGAAACAATCATTTGTTGTGAGAATTGTGGGAGGGAAATTACCAGCAGACACAGTGTTTTTCTCATCAATTGTATGGTCAGATGGCACTCATAATGTTATGAGTCCTATTGTTGCGAGTGTTTTGAAGTGGATTAAAGGTTAATATATACTGGAAGCTTGACTAGTAAAATAATGATTTTTGGTATTAAATATTAATATATGACAATTTGTTTTGTTTGAGGGATCTTTCGATGTTTTGTTTGAAGTCGACTAAATGGCACTCATTCTTTTTAACAACTTTGCTTCTTGAAGTGCAGCTACTTAGTTTTTGTTAGAGCATTAATATAAAGATTATCTATATAGGTTCAAGCTTATCTTGTACAGCTGTAAGGTCTACACGTGTAGGTCTCTCATTTGTTTATTTGTAATATTCCTCTGCTGTGTACAGGATTCCTTATTCATATTGATATATATAATACAAGGGCCAGAGCACATTCAATGCGTCTTGGCCTATTCAATATTTTACCCTAATATCTTTATCTTGGTACCAGAGCCAACCCTACCATGTCTGACTCGGCGGCGACCTCTGATGGCTCTTCTTCACAAGCTCCAAAAACTTATTCATTGTTTAATTCCTCCAGTCAAACCAGTGCGGTCAAGTTGGACCGCACCAATTTTCTCTTCTGGGAATCTGTTGTTTTCCCCTTGATAGAGGGTAACAAGCTCGAGGCTCATATCAGCTCCTCTGCTACTCCTCCACCGAAGATCTTGCTAGATGCTGCTGGTATGAAGGTGAATCCCTACTACGAAGAGTGGTATGCTACTGACAGGATGCTAGTAGGCTGGCTGCGCAACACCATGACCCAAGATGCTGGAGCTCAGCTTCTGCACTGCAAAACGGCACTTGAGCTATGGAAAGGAGCTCGTTCATTGACCTGTGCTGCTATCAAAGCTCGTACAATGGTTCTTAAATCTGAGCTTACACAGACCCAAAAAAATGGGATGAAAATGGAAGAATATCTGGGCAAGATGAAGAACCTAGCAGACCAGCTTGCTCTTGCCGGTACCCCTGTGTCTGAAGAGGATCTTATCCTACATACCTTAAATGGTTTGGATGTTGACTATAACGCTGTGGTTGTTAAACTTGTGGATAAGGTTGATCTCACCTGGATTGAGGCTCAGGCTTCTCTTCTTGCTTTTGAAACAAGGTTGGACCAGCTGAATCATTTTTCCTCTCTGTCTCTGCAACCTTCTGTTAATTTCATCCAGAACCAGCGTGATTATGATTTTCACCCATCTTATTCTTCTTGTCGTGACTATACTGGTGGTTCATGGAGAGGTTCTCGTGGATCTTGTGGCAGATGCTCTCGTGGCCGTAGAGGGGGGAGCACTCGCAACAATGACGGTCGTCCGTATTGTGATCTCTGCGAGCATTTTGGACATATTAGTGCTCATTGCTTCCGTAGGTATGACAGAAACTTTCGTCCTCCTTCTGAATGTGGCAGAGGAAACAATGGCTATTCAAGTGGATATTCTCCTCAAGCATTTTATGCAAATTCTCACACTGTGGCTGACCCGAATTGGTACATGGACAGTGGTGCCAATTATCATGTGACACCATATTCCGAAAATCTTGACACCGTTACTCCAATTGGTAAGTCTCACATCACTACCTGTACTGGAGAAAAAAGTCAAGTAACTGGTATAGGTTCATCTTCTATTCCCTGTTTTAATTCCAATCTTCATCTTACGGATGTGCTTCTAGTGCCCTCTGCAACCAAAAATCTGATGAGTGTTAATAGGCTTGTTGAGAATAACTATGTTGATGTTAATTTTTCTGATTATGGTTGTACTGTGAAGGACAAGGCAACCGGGCAACTGCTAATGAGAGGGTTTCCGAAGCAAGGAATGTATCCAATGCTTAATGGAGGAAAGTTTCAGCCTCAGATTCATGAAGCACGTTTTGTAGCTGCTGGAGAGGAAGATTTCGTTAAATGGCATTGCAAATTAGGACACCCTAGTAGTAGAGTACTGAAACAGATATTGAATAAATGTAATGAGAAAGTTTCTATTAATGAAAACTTTGTTTGTGAAGCATGCCAATTTGGTAAATCTAAACGGTTACCTTTTCCTCAATCTGTTTCTCATGCATCCTCTCTATTAGAATTAGTTCATACAGACCTTTGGGGTCCCTCTCCAGTTCAATCAATACATGGTCATCGATTTTACATTCATTTTGTTGATGATTATAGCAGATATACTTGGCTTTATCCATTGAAAAACAAAGGAGAAGCAATCGGTGCTTTTAATACTTTTAAAGCTCATGTTGAGAATCAGTTCAATGCCAAAATCAAAGAACTCCAGTGTGATAATGGATCTAAATTTAAGCCTTTTATTCCTATAGCTCAAGCTGCTGGCATTAATTTGAGATATACTTGTCCATATTCATCACCACAAAATGGAAGAGCAGAAAGGAAACACAGGCATATTGTGGAAATGGGTCTAACATTATTAGCTCAAGCAAGGATGCCTCTCACTTACTAGGTTGATGCATTTCAGGTTGCTGTATTTTGATAAATCGTCTTCCAACTCCTGTGCTAGATGGTATAACACCTCTGTTTCAACTATATAAAACAGAACCAGATTATCACAGCATTCAACCTTTTGGCTGTGCTTGCTACCCATGCCTAAAGCCTTATAATAATCATAAGTTCCAATTTCATAGTCAAAAGTGTGTTTATCTTGGACCTGCAGCTCAACACAAAGGTTTCAAATGTCTAAGTGCCACTGGTCGAATATATGTTTCCAGACATGTTGTGTTTGACCCATCAGTTTTTCCTTTTGTAACAGGTTTCTTGAATCGCAAATTGGCTATCCTTGAATCTGGTGGTGATATTCCTTTACAAATTGCTGTTCCAGAGAAACACTCATCTTCTTCTTCAGTGGAGACTCCTGCACCGTGCCCTCCTCAAGCGACCCATGATGACTCTTCTCCAATAATTAACGAGTCTGCACAGAATGGGTCCCATGCCAGAGATACATCTTCAGCGGCCAGTTCTGTGGGTCCATTGAATTCTCCTATTATCTCTAGTTCATTAGAGTTATCGGCCCATGAAATCCAACCTCCACAAGTCCAAGGGAATCAACATCACATGACTACTCGGTCCAAAGATGGAATATTCAAGCCCAAACATCCTTTTATTGGACTTCTTCAATCTGAAAACCCAAGTTCTCTTATTAGGGCATCCAAACCACTCAATGTTAAAGAAGCTTTGCAGACACCTCACTGGCTACAAGCGATGAAAGATGAGTTTACTGCCTTGCAGAAAAATAAAACGTGGATCTTGGTTCCTCGTAATGGCTCTCAAAAACTTGTCGACTGCAAATGGGTGTTCAAAACAAAATTTAGAGCTGATGGATCAATCTTAAAGCATAAAGCTCGGTTGGTGGCAAAAGGATTTCAACAAGCTCCGGGGATAGATTATGGAGAAACATTCAGTCCAGTCATCAAACCAACAACTATTCGTGTTGTACTCACAATTGCAGCGACTTTTAATTGGGAGGTAAGACAATTTGATGTGAACAATGCTTTCTTAAATGGTTATCTTAGAGAGGATGTTTTTATGCACCAACCAGAAGGTTTCCTTGATCCACAAAGGCCGAATCATGTGTGTAAACTGGTTAAAGCTATCTATGGTCTAAAGCAAGCTCCTCGAGCATGGTTTGATCGTTTGAGAGACACTCTATATCAATGGGGTTTCAAAAATGCCAAAAGTGATATTTCCCTATTCTACTTGCACATGAACTCTGTCATAGTTTTTGTGTTGATTTATGTTGATGATATTCTTGTGACTGGGAATAACTCTTCATACTTGAAACAATTTATTCGGAGAATGAATGCTATGTTTTCATTAAAGGATCTTGGACCTCTGTATTATTTTCTTGGTTTAGAAATTTACAGGGATAAATCTGGTTTTTACTTGAACCAGAGCAAATATATACAAGATATATTAAAGAAGTTTAGTATGCTAGACTGTGCACCTGTGAGTACACCAATGGTTACAGGACGTCATTTTTCTCTTGATGATGGAGAGCCTATGAAAGATCCCTCACTGTACAGAAAAGCTATTGGGTCTTTGCAATATCTTACCACAACACGTCCAGACATAGCCTTTGCTGTTAATAAACTTAGTCAATTTATGTCAAAGCCTACTGATGTTCATTTCCAAGGTGTCAAGAGAATTCTTAGGTATCTCAAAGGAAGCCATTATCTTAGCTTGAATATTAAGCCTCTTGTTTCACCTCAATTAATGGCTTTTACTGATGCTGACTGGGCCACTGATGTTGATGATCGAAAATCCATGGCTGGGGTGTGTGTTTATCTTGGAGGAACACTGGTTTCATGGACATCTCGCAAGCAACGAGTTGTGTCTAGATCTAGCACAGAATCAGAGTATAGGGCGCTTGCTGATGGTGCTGCTGAAATAAAATGGTTGAGCTCACTATTATGTGAACTCGGATTTAGAATCAAACAACCTTCAATAATATGGTGTGATAATCTTAGTGCTAGAGCACTTGCAGCAAACCCAGTTCATCATGCAAGGAGCAAACACATTGAAATTGATATTCATTTTATAAGAGATTTAGTTCTCTCTGGTTTTCTGGATGTTCGATATGTGCCCTCTTCTCATCAAGTTGCAGATTGCCTAACGAAAGCCTTATCTCAGTCTCAATTCTTTGCCTTCAGGAACAAACTCGGTCTGTCAAAGACACCCTCTCGTTTGAGGGGGACTGTTAGAGCATTAATATAAATATTATCTATATAGGTTCAAGCTTATCTTGTACAGCTGTAAGGTCTACACGTGTAGGTCTCTCATTTGTTTATTTGTAATATTCCTCTGCTGTGTACAGGATTCCTTATTCATATTGATATATATAATACAAGGGCCAGAGCACATTCAATGCGTCTTGGCCTATTCAATATTTTACCCTAATATCTTTATCTGTTTTATTCAAGGAGAATTGCAATCAAATCCAAGTAAGAATTATAAATATTAAAAAATTTCAGTAATAACTAAACAGCCTATAATAATAAGTTTTATTGTAGGAGATAACAATTTTTAACTTATCATTGAAATTTTTTGGTAATTATTTTTGAGAAAATATATATGCAGGTCCTTATAGTTTAACTACCTTTTGAATTAGGTCCCTAAACTTTATTTTCTTTTTATTGAGTCCTTGTATTTTAAATCGATAGAGGCATCCATTCCTAAGTTTAAAACCGTTACTGAAGCACTATCTGTATATAACTCCGTTTATATTTGAATGAGGTGGCAAATGACTATATGCCTAGCTAGGTGGATATATGTAAGTCCAATTAGGCTGTGACTGAACTCCTCTCTTGCTATCATAGAATAGAAAAGAAAGAAAGCAGGAAGAAGAAGATGAACAAGCAAACACCAGGAAGAACGATTGAGCTAGCCAAGACCGGACCATCTGTGAGGAGTGAACAAGCAAAAGCAGGACCAATTCTGAATAACAGAATCTGACCTTCTTTCTTTTTTATGAATCCCATCATTTGATGTGCGATCTTGAAAAGTTTGAGGTTTTATGATTATGAATCCCATTGTCTTGTTCATCATATGATGACAAGGAACACTAATTTAATTAGAAGACCCTAAAACAATTCAGTCAAGTGATATTATTAAAGAATAGATAACCATGAAATGGTGCATTATTATGTTAAATTAAATACCACGCCATTGATTGATGATTAATATTGCCTTGTATATTTCTCAACTCAATGCAATTAGCCAGCAGCATATACCAGCAGAGTGAGGCATGGCTTAGTTTGTCAGACCAGTTGCTTTTGTAGAATAAGCCATCAATAATTTGATCATTCAAGGAGTAGTTGATGAAAGAGTTGTAGTGGACGAAGAAGATTCGACCAACTCTAGTTTGAGCGTTGGAGAACCAAGCAAATAGAGCCGCAACAATGATATGAGAAGGTGAGAGCATGTTCGAGCTCGAAGACTTGAAGAACCACCCTACATGACGTTGCTCGGAGACCTTCTCTTCATTTTCCCGCTTGAAGAACCTCCTCCGTGTTGAACTCGAACCCCTTGCTTAACTCAACATATGCCAGCCTAGCCTTAGAGGAGTCCAGTCGTGGCCTAGTGAGAAGCCACATGTGGATAATCATCTGCCACCTCACCCAGAGTAAACGGTGTTATAACTTCCACTTGTTTAAGGATAGATGGCTTTAACTGTGTGTAAAAAATAAATTTTAATTTAAAAAAAAAGTTTAAGAACGTGATTCAAAATTGAATGAAACTATAAGGAGCCGCATATATATTTTTTTATTTTCTTTTTTGGGATCTCATTGTAATTGTTCCTTTATTTATATCCTTTAAATGCTTGCTTTCAATCAAATCAAGAAGACGTGTACCAACAAATTATTGGTTGATATGATAAGCGGCCTCATCTGCATAAAGAGGAGAATATAAGTTCGAATATTAGGAAACGCACTTATTGGGAGGACTTTAACCTTAACATTCCTAACCCCATAAAGATTAGTCTCAAGTCGAAAGTGACTTAAGCATACTCTAAGTCATAGTAAAAAAAAGGTTAAGGTACAATTTTAACAACAAAGTTTACACTAAGAGGCACTGGGCACCATAAAGTTTACTTGGATGCAAAAATATATGTGAAGTTGTTAAAAGGAGGCACCTGGCACCATGCCATTAACGTCTGTTAGTTTAGTTTACCATTAGAGGGGTCCATGAAGTTAGTTTTAGTGTGTATTTTTAACAACAAAGTTTATATCAAGGGGTATTAGGCACTATGAAGTTTACAAGGGTGCAAAAAATATACATGAACTTTTTAAAAGAAAAAAAATAACAAAATTCTCTAATTCCCATAAATGTCCCTTGATTTTATTTTTATAGGTCCTGCTAAATATCACATTTTCTCTCAACTCATTCCTACTTCCTCTTCTCCTTAATATAATGGACATTTTTTTTTTTGGGGGGGTTAAAAAAGTAAAACAAATACTTAAATATAGCATAGAGTATATGATCACTCTAAAATATTTATATGCATCATTAGATTATATATTAGTTCATAAGCTAAGTAAATTAATTTGGAAAAAAGTGATAAATATAATATTTTAAAGTAATTTATTTAATTTTTTAACCTTCTCAAATTAATCCAATGCATCCTATATTAAGGATTGGAGATGGTATTTGAATGCAAGCAATGAACCTCATATCTTAGAAGGAAAAGACGTCGTTATTATGTGTAAATACATATAAAAGACTTGGAGGTTGAGAAAACGACATGATAATATGCGTGTTGACTATTATGGGAGAAAGATGAATTGACTTAGAAGTGAAAATTGGTGAAGAGAAAATATGACATTTGGTGGGACTAAAAAAAAATAAAATTAATAGATGTTTATGGGAGTTGAAGAATTTTGTTATTTTTTTTCCTTTTAGAAAGTTCGTGCATATTTTTGCACCCAAGGAAACTTCATGGTGTCTAGTTCCCTTTAATGTAAACTTTGTTGTTAAAAATATATTTTAAAACTGATTTTATTGGTTCCTTTAACAGTAAACTAACTGACGTTAATAGTGTAGTGCCAAATGTCCTTTTTTGACAATTTCATTTTTATTTTTGCACTCAAATAAACTTTATGGTGCCCAATACCCTTTAGGGTAAAATTTGTTGTTAAAATTGTACTTTAACCTTTGAAAATCGAGAACACGTGTGGATTTTTAAAATTATACTGAATGGCAAGAAAAACTATTTACATGTTGTGGATTTAATAAAAAAAAGACAAAAATTTCAGTAATTTGACTTTTTTGTTGGGGAAAAAAATAGTCATTTACATGTCAATGAAACAAAAACGTCCACGTTTAATTGTTTCCAAAACTAACACGCCCTACTTGTCACAATACGTTCAATATAATGTTGAGTCATCCATAATTACAATCAAAATAAATAAGATTTGATCTCTTCAGGTTGATTTTAGCTAGAGTTCAATGCTTTTCTCTCTATTAAATAATATTAATAATTATGGGATTTCTTGTCATGATTTGATAATAAATTTTTATTCATGCATCTATCTGTAATATTAAACATACATACAGGAACGTTGTTGATCATCAGGCGAATTGTGTACTTGATTTCAGAGATTTCATACCAAGTTCAGTTTATCTATTTAGCATTTATTCTAAAATTTTCAACCCTCCCCTTTATATATGTGCGTTCGTGTATATATAATATTGCCAATTGCTTCCTTTCGTTCACTGCCTTCGACAATGGACAAGCAAAATTCCATACCTTTCATTTGTTTCTCTTTCATTCTCCTTGTACTTACATTGATTCCATTACGATGTGGTGCTAGTGACGGTGGTGGTGGTGATGATAGGAAAACATACATCGTCTACTTGGGATCACTTCCTATGGAATTATCTTCTTATTCCTCCTTAACCTCACACCACCTTAGTATTCTCCGAAAAGCTACTAATAATGGCGTTGACGACCTCAATAATGATGTCACGGACTCCTTGATTCGAAGCTATGCTAAAAGCTTCAACGGGTTTGCAGCAAAACTCAGCAGTGATCAAAGGGACAAGATGGCTGAGATGGAAGAGGTTGTCTCAGTGTTTGAAAGCAGAACATATCAAACCCAGACAACAAGATCATGGGACTTCCTCGGATTCACCGAGAAAGCGGCAAGACAAAGAAACTCGTCATCTGCAGAAAGTGATGTCATAGTCGGAGTAATTGACAACGGAATATGGCCAGAATCTGAGAGTTTCAGCGACGCAGGCCTCAGCCCTGTCCCTAAGAAATGGAAAGGTACTTGTTCTGGGGGGAAGAACTTCACCTGCAACAACAAGATCATCGGAGCTCGGGTTTATCCCAAGGATCGTGATTCTGCTAGAGACAGAAACGGCCATGGAACCCACACTGCCTCCACAATAGCTGGGAATATAGTTCCTGATGTCAGCTTTTATGGAATAGCAAATGGTGTGTGTGTGTGTGTGTGTGTACATATAATTAACTTCATATCTCTATCTTTTTAATTATAAAACTATGTGATCGAAGAAGAGTTTATAATTAATCTGGGGTGAGTCTTTGAACTGAGCAGGAACAGCAAGAGGAGGGTTTCCATCTGCAAGAATCGCTGCATATGTAGCTTGTGAATTTGACGGACTTGTTTGCAAAGGAGAAGATATCTTGGCCGCTTTTGATGATGCCATTTCAGATGGCGTCGACATAATTTCAGCGTCCTTAGGGCTTTCCGACATCCTTGATTTTCTCAGTGACGTAATAGCCATTGGATCTTTCCACGCCATGAAGAGTGGAATCCTCACCGTCCATTCCGCCGGCAACAACGGCCCTGAGATCGTCACAGTTGCAAGTGTTGCACCTTGGATCCTAACCGTTGGTGCAAGTACCACAGATCGCAAAATCATCGACAAGGTTGTTCTTGGGAATGACAAGATTCTAACTGGGTTCTCTATAAATGGTTTTAAGTCAAATGGCTCAAAGTTTCCTATAGCTAACACTACATGTCTTGAAGAAAAAGACACTGTCAAAGGTAAGATTGTGTTATGTCAAGCTCTGCCTGCTGTAGGAGACAACCTTCAGGAACTCGGTATTGTGGGTGTGATCGAAAATTCACGTTATTCATATCCTGGTTTTTCTGATGTGGTTACTCTACCTTCACTGAAAATTCCCGACGAGGATTTTGAAAGTGTTGTGTCTTATACAAATTCAAGTGAAAGCCCTAAAGCTGAGATATTGAAGAGTGAGATTTCCGAAGACAAATCCGCCCCTATAACAGCTCCGTTCTCTTCACGTGGGCCAAATTTAGTAGTGGCAGAGATTGTGAAACCAGATATAAGTGCTCCAGGAGTAGAGATTTTGGCTGCATATTCACCGTTTGGGCCAGTTTCGAGCAGTCCAGAAGACAAAAGATCTGTGAGATACATTTTTCTATCAGGAACCTCCATGGCTTGCCCTCACGTTTCTGGAATATCTGCGTATTTAAAGGCTCTTCACCCAGATTGGTCACCGGCAGCCATTAAATCTGCTATTTTAACCACAGCAAAACCCATGAAGAAAGTTGATTATTGGGATTTCGTTGGAGAGTTTGAACATGGATCAGGGCTTTTAAATCCATTACAGGCTAGTAACCCTGGGTTGATTTATGACATATCAAAGGATGATTACGTGGCAATGCTGTGTAACCTTGGGTTTAACACTTCACAAATTAAGCAGATTTCTGGACAAAGTAGCCCTTGTCCTGGAACTTCTAGCAGAGATTTGGTGAAAAATCTGAATTATCCTTCATTGGCGGCTAAAGTTGAGCCTTTGAAGTCATTTAAGGTTGAATTCAAAAGGACAGTGACAAATGTTGGATTTGCCAACTCAACGTATAAAGCAAGTCTTTCAGCAAGTTTAAATATGACTTTGACAGTGAAACCTGAAGTTCTGTCGTTCAAATCATTGAATGAGAAGAAATCTTTTGTGGTCAACGTTAGCGGAAAAGAACTTTCAGATTATGAAGCAATCTCTTCATCGTTGGTTTGGTCAGACGGCACCCATGTTGTGAGAAGTCCAATTGTTGTAATGACGCGCAATACTCCTTAATTTAGGACCCTCGAATCTTTTCTCATTGATATGTCGTTTAATATTGTATGTCCTTCTCTGATATATGAGACTAGAAAGATGAATCTAAAAAATAAATAAAATCCGGTTCCTTTTCTTCAATAATATATTGAATTTTATGACACTAGAGATCATATCATCAAGAATTAGGGCTCATTTAGAATGGTTCGTAAACAAATTTTCAATCGTAATTTATCAAGTACGAAATAAATATAGGAGAAGAGTTTTGTCTTGACTTATATAAAAAGTACTTATAAGTTATTTTAATCGCGATTCCAAAATAGGGTGTCTGTGTTACAGGTTTTGTTTCTAGTTGACTGGCTATAACAAGAAAGCATTGGGTTAAATAACAATGGCTTTTTGACCAAAATAAAAAGAATGGCTTTAAAAAGAAAAAGAGAGAGATGGACAGAATTACAATAACTTAAGAGGACTAATCAACACCAAAAAAAAAACACCCCTAATATAAGCTTACAGGAATTTAATCCCAATGCTTACAAGGTTTAAAATAAGAATATGTATAAAAATATACGTACAAATTACTCACAAATAAAATCTATATCCAACAAAAGTTTCCAAAGGTAGACTCTTATAAATTTGCAATAAATATTTTTTTAAAAAAAACTTCAATAGTTCAGCAGAAACTTATCTTATTTTTAATAGTTTTCCTAATCTCAAGTTTACCAATTTAACAATATCATCATTTATGATATAATTTCACTGAATCAAATCGGATAATTCGTTTACAATTATGAGTTGAAAAAAATCCCACAACTTTAATGATAGATTATGGAGCCATTAATCTCAGAGAATGAACCTACAGCTATTAAAAAAGCACTTCTTATCACATACGGTGCATCTCCATCATTGTATAGTTATGAATTATGATCAATTATTAGGAAATCAAATGCGGTGAATATATATCATGGGAAAGAGAACTTTTCGAAAATATTAACACGCAAAATAAAAAGGAAATCTCAATAGCAAACATATCTTCAAGACAATTAACAAAATAAAAAAATTTGGCAAAGAAGCGGTGACTGATATGGGATTTTAAAATTAAAAAAATGACAAAAATGCTCTAGGTTTTTTTAACTGGTCATGGCATCATTTTATCTAGGAATGACATTGATTGTGAAATAATAAGTCTTGAGTTGAGATTAACAATATTTTTTTCCTAATACATAAATATGTGAATCAATTAAAAATGACAACACTCTATCTGAGAAAAACAAGTCTTGATTATGAAATAACAGGTCTCAAGTTGAAATTAACAACACGTTTTCTAAAAAACAGTTATTTTTGTTTTTTTTAATTTCAAAATCCCAAATCAGGCATCCCTTTCTTTCTATGGATTTTGAAATTTTGGGTGCCTGAATTGGAATACAATTTTCATATTCTTTAAGTGTCATTTTCCCTCTTTTTTATTTAGCTTGATTTTAACTAGAATTCAATGCTTTTCTTTCTATTAAATAATAATAATAATAAGTACTGGATTTTATATAATGATTTGATGACTAATTTTTATACATGCATCTATCTGTAATATTAATATCAAACATACAGGAACGTTATTCATTAGCGAATAGTATGTACTTCAAATAAAGATTTCAAATAATTTTAACTGTTTTGGCCAAAAAATAATAATTTTATCTGTGATAGCAAGATAAAATCAACGTTGCACCTGTAAAGTATTTTTCTTTTAGAATTTGAGAAACTAACTATTTAACTATTTAGATTTATAATTTGTGACCAGGGATTTAGATTTATAATTAACACTATATTAACTCTTTTTTTTTTAAATTTTGAATTCCAATCAATAGTTTTCGTGTAAAAGTAGAAAATAATCTTGGCATATGAATTAATGTTAACGCTATAAGTATCAGCGCCTCTTGTTAATTCTCCAACATAAACTCACGTCAAAATGGCCAAGCAAAATTCCATTGCTTTGATTTCTCTGTACTTCGTCATTCTTCTTGCATCCTCATTTATTCCCTTTCTTTGCGATGCTAACAATTCTGAAAATAGTGATACGAAAACGTACATCATCTACTTGGGATCGCTTTCATCAGTTCCAAAGGAATTATCTTCGTACTCTCCGACCTCACACCACCTTAGCATTCTTCAACAAGTCTCTAATGGCGGCCTCACTGCTATTAACGACGCCACAAGTTCCTTGATTCGGAGTTACACGAAAAGCTTCAATGGCTTTGCTGCAAAACTCACTAGTGATCAGAGGGACAGGATAGCTGAGATGGACGAGGTGGTCTCTGTGTTTGAAAGCAAAAAACTTAGGATCCAGACCACAAGATCCTGGGACTTCATGGGATTTGTCGAGAAGACTATAAAGCGAAACTCATCGGCTGAGAGCGATGTCGTGGTCGGAGTTATAGACACCGGAGTGTGGCCGGAGTCTGAGAGTTTCAGCGACGAAGGTCTTAGCGATGTCCCTGAGAAATGGAGAGGGACTTGTGCTGGTGGGAAGAACTTCACCTGCAACAAGAAGATCATCGGAGCTCGGTTCTATTCTGAACGCCGTGATTCTGCCAGAGACGAACATGGCCATGGAACTCACACTGCTTCAATAGCAGCTGGAAACATAGTTGATGGTGTCAGCTTTTATGGATTAGCAAATGGTATGTGTGGATATAGAATTGATATTATTATAAATCGTAACTTTGCTGTTCTAAATTCATAGCGCAATCAACTATTCGAAAGTTTATGACCCCCTCAAATATACTTTCTCATTCCATTGCTGAATTTGTACTTCTTGGACCTGTTTTCCCCGTCTTGTTCCACATTCCCTGAACAAGGTCCCCAAGGCTCCCATCAAGATTAGAGAAGGACAAATACAGACTCATCCCACAAATAGGAAGGCAGTTTCTAGGCAGCTCCTAGGATTCGTTGAACGTGTAATCTTCAAGTTACATGATAATAAACTTACCATTGCTCTCTTACACCCCCACAAACAAATATAAGCAGCCTTATCTCACAAACAAAATTGCAGTTTTTAGAATTTGAACTTGTAACTCCCAAGTCACATGATAACAACCTTACCGTTGCTCATCACTCACCCTGCAAACAGAGAGATATATAGTTTCCAAAATTTAAACCTGTAACCTTCAGGTCACATGATGATAACCGTCTCGATGCTTTAAGGCTTGTGAACAGATGTATGCACAAATTATTGAGAAACAGTTTACAAATTTGAACCTATAACCTCTAGGTCACATAACAACAATAATCTTTCAGTTGTTTCAAGGCTTACCCCCTCTTGAATGAAAATGTATTATATTGAAGAATTAGGCTAGTAGAGTGATATCTCTTTGATGATTCAAACTAATTTAGCTTTTATGTGAACTGCGTGAACAGGTACAGCAAGAGGAGGGGTTCCATTTGCGAGAATTGCTACATATGCAGCATGTGATAGCGAAAATGGAAACTGCGAAGACAAAGATATATTGGCTGCTTTTGATGATGCAATTTCCGATGGTGTAACCATCATTTCAGCTTCAGTAGGAGGCTTATTCATAGAAGACTTTCTTCAAGATTCAATAGCCATCGGATCTTTTCATGCTATGGAGAAAGGAATCCTCACCGTCCATGCCGCCGGCAATGCCGGTCCAGCCTCCTCCACAGTTGTAAGCCTAGCACCCTGGATTCTAACTGTAGCTGCAAGTAGCACAGACCGTAGAATCATCGACAAACTTGTTCTTGGCGATAATAATGGGACCACACTTGTTGGGAATTCCATAAATGTTTTTAACTCAAATGGGACAGAGTTTCCTATAGCTAAGATGTATGGTGATTCAGAGGATTGTCCCAAAGAAGTTGGAAGAGATTGTTTTTGTTTCGACACAAATTTGGTTAAAGGAAAGATTGTTATATGCAATCAACTAGTTGAAAGTACATTTGCAAAGTCTCAAGGGGTGGCTGGGGTCATTGTAGCATCAAATTTAACAATTGAAGATTTCTCAGCAGTGGTTATGCTTCCTTCATTGTACATTCCTACAGATTCTTTACCTATTATTGATTCTTATATCAATTCAACTAAAGATCCGAAAGCTGAGATAAAGAGGAGTGAGATTGTTAAAGATGAGAATGCTCCAAGAACATTTAAAATATCTTCACGTGGGCCAAATTACTTGGTACCGGAGATATTAAAACCAGATATAAGTGCTCCTGGAGTTGATATTTTGGCTGCATATTCACCAGTTGGATCGGTTTCAAGTTTTGTAGAAGACAAAAGATCTGTGAATTACAATTTTTTGACAGGAACTTCCATGGCTTGCCCTCATGTTTCTGGTATATCTGCATATTTGAAGACTGTTCACCCAAATTGGTCGCCTGCAGCTATCAAATCTGCCATTTTAACAACTGCAAAACCCATGAAGAAATCTTATTCTGAGGATGCTGTCGGTGAGTTTGAATATGGATCTGGGCATGTGAATCCAGTTCAAGCCAGTGATCCTGGGTTGGTTTATGACATATCCAAGGAAGATTATGTGGAAATGTTGTGCAATTTTGGTTATAACAGTTCACAGATTAAGATGATTTCTGGAAACAATAATAGTACCTGTCCCAGATCTCCTCAAAGAGAGTTAGTCAAGAATCTGAATTATCCCATACTTGGCGTTAATATTAAGCCTTTGACTGCATTTAAGGTTGAATTTGAGAGGACAGTGACAAACGTTGGATTTGCCAATTCAACCTACAAAGCAAGCGTTGTTTTATCAGATTCTCATGGTAAGGTGAATATTACAGTGGAACCCAAAGTTCTTTCGTTCAAATCATTGAATGAGAAGATGTCTTTTGTTGTTAGTGTTGCTGGAGAAGGAATCTCAAATCAAACTGCAATCGCCTCGTCGTTGATTTGGTCAGATGGAACCCATAATGTAAGAAGTCCAATCATTGTGATGGGTTTTGAGGATCTTTTATAAGAATCTTTTTTGAGTCTGTTATTGTTATAATAAATTATAAAAGCAACCAGAGTTGAAAAGACGTATCTATGTGTGTTTGTATTATACTACAATATATAATAAACTTTGGCAGCTTAATATTCAGATGTGAGTTTCTCTGTATGGTTATTGTATACGTAATTTGTCCTACAATTTGAAACTTGCAAGGAAGAATTTCAATAAACCTGAACAATACCAGTTGACCTTCAAAATCAAAATATTTGAAATCTCGTTACACCCCTAAGGACTAAAATTTTACGTACGGGTGAAAAGACAAAAATACACTTGCTTTATTTTGGAGTTGTGAATTCCTTTATGTTTCTTGTAAATTGTCAAATTTGATTTGTTCATTTGTACCTCAACAGTTGTATTTTGGGGTTGTGAATACCTTTATATTTCATGTAAATAGCCAAAATTGCATTGCAAATCATCAAATTCCTGTTATAAATTACAGAATTTAAATTATCCATTCACACCAAAATAATTATATTTTGAGTTGTGAATTCTTTTATATTTTTAAAAAATATCAAATTTGGATTGCAAGTTGCTGAATTTTGGAGAAGTCATACAGCAATCTCCTCATCCTTGTTTGGTCAGATGGAACCCACAATGTGAGAAGTCCAATCATTGTGATGGCGTTCAGTATTTTGTTGTTATAATTAATAAATTCAAAGCAACTAGAGTAGCAATACGTACGTATATGTATGCGCGTCTGTATTATACTCTACAATAGTAAACTTTGGCAGCTTAATATTCAGATGTGTATGAGTTTCTAAGGTTCGTGGCAACTTCTATGCGAAGAGCACGAGTCTAAAATTTTGTTTTTTTTTTCCAATTGTATTTATCTTGTCCTAAATATAAAAGATGGATAAACTAATTTATAAAGATTAAGAAAATTTATTAAGTTTATTATTCATAAAAAATGTATGTTGGTTTTTTAAAATATCTCTTTAATTAATTGGAAACTATAGCATTATAGAAACCCTCTTAATAAGCACAACTAACAGGGATAGTTTGATGAGCAAATTAAAGATTTGGGAGACAAAATTAATTGATATTTTGATTTATATTTAAGATTAAAGCAAAACTCTCTAATAATTCTTATATTTAGCACCTGAACAAGTTTTCTTTTCAAGCTGCCAAAATAATTAAAATACCACATTCTTATAAAGGAAAAAAAAAAAAAGAGACCGAATGAATTATTCGGCGTGCTTAAAAAGATTGTAATGTATCTTAAAAAGAGTGCTCGAAGCCTTGAAAGGGGAAAGCTTCAAAACGGAAACTAATTAAAATTTATATGTGATTAAAAATAGTTATATTTTATAATGAATCACTACTCGAAATTAATACTACGTATATCTTATTCTTAATATAAAAACTAATTGACTAATTTGAGTAAATTTAAAAAAACTAGTTAGGTTAGTTATTTGCAACAAAATAGGTATTATCTTTCTAAAAATACCCTTGCTAATCATATGTATTAGCCAAAAATATCATTTAATGAAATTTTTAACATGTCTAATTATTACAAGGACTATTTTAGGAGGAAAAATAGATAAGTATGAGAAATGAAGTAAATTAAAATCGTATATTTATAATCAAATTAAAAGTCAAACCAGCTCTTATATTAAAAAGCAAAGGTAGCATGATAATTGAGAAGAATTTTCATAAATAATTAGCAAACTTCACCATAACTTCACTCGTCTGCAGACTATTTTCACACATGCAATCATACACATGCACATGGGCACGGCACAGTACACATTTGAGTGTTAATTTTTTTGGTTATCCATTTCAGTGTTAAATTGAATATCTTTTAAATATGTTTTATTAATAAATATTCAATGTTTCACTCAAAAAATAAATATTTAATATTTAATAATTAGTATTATTGACTATTTCAGATCTGCACAGCGACCTAAATATATATTTCTAATTTGTTCATGAATCAAGGCTGTAAATATTCATGCATGAGTGGTGTTGGTCATTTTATAGATTCATTTTCTGAATTTAATGGCTAAATTATTTGTTAACAAATAAGAGATAATAAATGTGCTTGTAATTTACTCACCAAAAAAAAAATGTTCTTCCAATTTAGTTGAAACATGTCACGAAGAGCAACAAAATTAACCATTCATTTATTGTTTCAGTCGTTCCGATACATAGAATGAACGTAATGCGAGTATTTACAGCGCGTAGAAAAGTGAATGGTTCATTAATATGCTTGCATATAGACAAAATTTAGGTGAATATTACTAAATACTTTTCTTTTATATGTAAATAATGTATTAAAAAACCATAAAAATTTAAGAAAAAACTTATAAATTTCAATATAATAAAAATATATGCCACATTGCTATTTTTTCTTGAATACTATCTCCGGTGATTAATATAAGAACTTGTTTGATTTATATGTTGGTCTTAAATATAAGACCCTAATCCACTTGTCTTTCATATTTATCTATTTTTTTTAAAAATAATCCTTGTAGTAATGATATTTCTAACTAATACACTTGACTAATAAGGATATTTCAGGAAAAACAATACATATTTATTATAAATAACTAACTTAAGTTAAGTTTGGATAAAATTATCTTTTAATTAAAAAAATTTTACACGGTATGTAGGCATTAAACAATTGGAGAAAATGTCTTAAGATAACCCAAACTTACATAAAGTTTCTACAATTAATACCATTTAGTTTTAATATAAAAGCTAATTTGTCTCCCAAATTTATAATTTATTTTTCAAAGTATTTTTGTTGATTACACATGTTAAAAAAAATTCATCCAAAGATAATCATGATTAAAAAAATAGAACTTAAGAAGATTAAATTATATTTGTTTTAAATAATAATTAATTTAACTAATCTTTTTCATATACTTAAATTAGTTAAATAATTTTTACATTTGGAATATAACGAGCAGAGGAAGTGTTATATTATCTGTTGTGACATGTTTGGACTAAAACTTGTATATGATTTGCTTGCAATAATGATATAACGAATCCCATTAATGGAGGCACTGATTTGAGAGGATTAATGGACCTCTCCTGTAAAACCGCCAACACTGCTCATGCTGTCCTCTGTCGTACATTCATATTTCATATCCGCATGTTGCTTCGTAAACTTTCGTGGGAATTCAAATATGGTAAGGTCTTTTTTGAAATAGCTTATAGATTATTTTAATTATGATTTATAGAATATAAAAATAAGTATATATGTGTGTGTGAGAAGAGTTTTATCTCGAACCATGATTATAAATATTTGTATAAATAATACTAAAAAAAGCATCTATAAATTACTTCTAAATGAAAAATGCTAAATACTAATATTCTTATAAAAAATTATATAGAAATAAATCATATTGTACTAATTAATTTTATCCCAACTTTAATTTTTTTTTAAAACTCAAATAGAATAAAAGTTATTTTTAACGATAACAATATATTCAAACAAGCCCATATGGTCTTCCACTCTCGATTTGGTTCTTTATTTAAACCCCAAAAAAAAAAGTTTGGTCCTTTAAATTAATTAAAAAGTAAAGATTAAAATAAATTAATTCTATTGATGCTTAGCAAGTGACTTTCTATTCTTCATATAGAACAAAGAAAACAAAAATAACTGAGAACTTTAACTTCATTAAACATAAATATGAATAAACCTTGCAAAATACTGATTCTAGTTCTTAATATAAGAGTTAGATAACTAATTTAAAAATATAAAAAAAATTAGTTAAATTAGTTATTCATAACAAATGTGTGTTCACTTTTTTAAATTACCATTATTCAATTATATACATTAGAATTAAAAACTACATACACTCATGTGAAAACAGTTTACAATTAATAAGGATATTTTTTAGATCACATTATATAAATTTGATATACAAAGTGAATTAGAATTTTATATTTAGAACTATCAACTAGCTCTTATATTTTCGGATATACAGAGATAGTTAGTCTCATTGAAATATAGAATATAGATATCTATATTTGAAATCCTCACCTTAACTAAAATTTTGTGTATCTCTTTTTTACTTCAAAATAAAATTTTACTCACGACTTGCACCATATATACCAGTAGCAGGGTCTCTTGTTCAAAACACGCACACATTCACAATGAACAAGCAGTATTGCAAAGCTTTCATTTCTCTGTTCTTCATTCTTCTTTCATTCCTCACACTTATTTCCTCAGTAACATGTGATGATACGAAGACTTACATCGTCTACTTGGGATCACTTCCTAAGCAATCATCTTCTTATTCTCCAACCTCACACCACCTCACAATTCTTCAACAAGTTATTGATGGAGCTGTCGTCAATGCAAGTTCTTGCTTGGTTCGAAGTTACAGTAAGAGCTTCAATGGCTTTGCTGCAAAACTCACCAGTGATCAAAGAGACAAGATAGCTGACATGGACGAGGTGGTCTCTGTGTTTGAAAGCAAAACTCTCAGAATTCAGACGACAAGATCATGGGACTTCATGGGATTCGTCGAGAAGGCTATAAAGCGAAACTCTTCAGCTGAGAGTGATGTTGTGGTCGGACTCATAGACACCGGAATATGGCCGGAGTCGGAGAGTTTCAGCGACGAAGGTCTCGGCGGTGTTCCTGAGAAATGGAGAGGGACTTGTGCTGGCGGCAAGAACTTCACCTGCAACAAGAAGATCGTTGGAGCTCGGTACTATCCTGTAACTAGTGATTCTGCCAGAGATGAAGAAGGCCATGGAACCCACACTGCCTCTATAGCAGCTGGGAACATAGTTCATGGAGTCAGCTTTTATGGGATAGCAAATGGTATGTGTTTCATATTTTCTTTTGTTTTGGCCTGAATGTATTTCATATTTTCATATGTCAAAAGAAAGTGAGCTCCCTTAAAAAAAAAAAAAAGATTTTTGTGAATAATTTTTATTTTAAAAAACTTGCATACAATAACTTTGAGTCAAAATAATTCTTAACACCAAATACTTCCTCGATTCCTAAT